GTAATAATTGAGAACAGGCACTCCTGCAGATGACTGTGGTCCCCCAAATCCCTGCTGCCTTGTCAGATACGTGAGGCCCCCCGGAACTCCCCCTCGAGGCGCTTCCTCGGCACTCTAAAGGGTTCTGCTTCTGTCCTCGCCCCAAAACGCTGCTGTTCAGCAGCCCGAGCCGCCTGCTGCTGTCGTCCCTCCCGAGACCGCTCAAGGTCCTCACGCAGACGGTTCTCCCACTCGCCCCCACGGGTAGGTGCGCTCCCTTCCTTACCAGGACCCAGCGCTGAGAGCTCCAAGCCAACAGCAGCTTGGTCGGGGATGGTGCCTTCTCGGTTTCGTGTTGATGGGCTGTGGTAGGCCCCCTCCCTCCTGGAAGGGACGGAGCTGGTCCTGCCAGCGGGACTCTCCAGGCACCGGTCTGCTGGAGCTCTGCTTCCTGCAAACAGCGATGGCCCTCAGTTAGAGAGTAGAAGCCCGGGAGCAGCACATGGAACATCCCAATAGTGGTAAAATGAAATCAGTGGCAGGTTAAATAGCAAAAAAAGGGGGGCTGTTGAGAAAAGCAGGGGTTATTCTCGCTCTAGTACTTTCTCGGTGAAGGAAGATGTGGTCGGTTGTAAAAAACTGACCCATTCTCTGGTGTTTTGAGCCGCTAATAACAGACCTAATGCTGCTCCCACTGAATAAACACCCAACTCTCCATTACCTTCAAGGTGAATAACTTGAGCTAATTAACAGCTTCAGAAGCTCAAGCCATTAAATGGGGTTCTCCACCGCTCTGAGCAGAGAGGAAAGTGTCCAGGAGCTTCTTATTCTTCAGTCTGCAGCTATTTACTGTGTGACTTACTGTCCCGTGTTTCAAGCGTATCCATCTGCACCTTGCGGACGTGCTTTCTTCTGCCCATCGCAGAGGTGGTAGGAGGCTTAATTCCTTGTTATTTGCCGAGCGGGCTCTGACTGCCAGCTGAAAGGCGGAGATTGATAGAGAAGTCCCATGTGGTGACAGCAGCTTTGGTCTCTTGGAAAGACAGGCTTTGCTAACAGCGCGTGCGGTGAAAGGCTGAAAGATTTCAGCCAAATCCATCGGTGTTGTGATTCTGTGTTTAATCTGACAGGGGATGAACGTAAGGGGAAAGAAAACTGGACAATTTGTTAGGGTTCAGTGAAGTGCTAACTAGGAACGGCTCTTGGGAGAGAATGGAAGCACCTGGAAGTACGTGCCACTGAAACTCCTGCCCTGTGCACAGAATTAGAAATGCTTTGTTGACTGCTCTTGGTTTTGGGTTTGTGGGGTTTTTTTAAAGATTTTAAACCTCAACTGTAGTTACAAATGAAACAAAGACTGTAATGGTCTGAGACGAATGGATATAAGCTAACACAGAAATCCAGAGCGTCCGCAAAACTGCGGGGACACTCTGAAAATGAAACGATTCCTGCCCTTGCTTTCCAACCTCACCGCTTGCAGAGGCGTTTTTCCAAAGGGGACCCTCCCGAGCCCGCGGGCTGGGGTGGGGGGGTTGCCTCTGGGATCCTTGCTTTATAAAGAGGGCAGAGAGAGTGGATTAAATCAATATTTCATTTATTTAGGCTTGTAATTCCTCTTACATCAGCTGCCACATAAAGATTTTTCCCCTATTTTCTTCCCCTCCTCCTCATCCTCATTTACTATGCACCAATAATTTCCCTTTGACGCTTTCCTGCCAGTCCTAGTGCCAGATGGCCCCGGTTCTGAGCTTCTCCCCTCTCTTGGGAGCGGCCCCTATTGTCAATGCAGAGGAGGCGTCGTGGCTTTGAACCCAAAGCTGGGACCCAAACTTCAGTCCCGGCGTGAGGAGGAGCTAACCCACTAATGCAGGAAACCATGCAAACAGCACATCCTCCCACTCATCGCCATTAAGGGGGAAAAAACCCTTCACTAAAGGCTGTTTTGCATTTTCCCCAATGGTCCGTGTATAGAAATCTGGTGCAAATTTAATTCTCTCACCACCTGATTCCACTTCCCAGCCGCGAGGTTCCCTTTGTGTCACAAACTCAATTAGACGTATGCATTTCACATCATGGACACAGATGCGAAAACAAAGTGCGCACACGTACCTCGCTCTTTCTCTCTCTCTTTCTCTCCGTGTAGATGCGCCTACATCGCCTTTAAAGCGATAAAGAAAGTGAGTAAATCTGTTTAGGGCGCTAGCCCGCTATGCGGAACTAAGTGTCCGGTTGCGGCGAGCGGCGCAGAGTTTCTGATTGTGTTTGGGGTAGGCTGTGACATCTTGGAAGTCAATAGGGTTTCCCTGGGTCGGGGCTGGGTGACAGGGAAGCCGCTCCCCCGTTTCATTTCGGAGTGGCGCGGTTTGGGTGCGTGCCCAGCACGCCGGTGCATTAGCTGTAGGTGCTGAGGAATTTTCCAGCCACACGAGTTGGCAGGGAATGAAAGGAGCGGGTATTAATTTCTCAGCGTACCGCTCGGAACAGGGGGGACGTAATTGCAAAGATTGACATTGAACCGTGTTTCTGTGTGCCACACAGCATGCAGCCCTGCCTTTTAAAAAAAAAATAGCCGGGTTTCTCTCCCTGGCTTGACTTTTCTACATTTTGTGTCCATTTGGGTTTGGAGAGGGACACAAGAGGTTTCGGCATTGAGCGGAGAGTTAAATTATGCAGCTGCAAGACTGCCAAGCCCTTCAGAATAGGATGCTTCGTTTAGATTTTCCACAATGCTATTGAAGTGCTTATTTTCCTCCTGAAGAGACACAAACAGATGCAAACTTCTGTAAACACTTTAGAAATGAATTCAGTGAGTTTGGCCTCTCAGCAGTGCTCAATAGCTGACAGAAAAATGTCTAATTAGTGCAAGTGGAAATAATAGGGCCACTTGGATTCCTTCCATCCTCCTCCAAGTCTACTTTTCCTAGGAACTCAAAGGCCCTTTTGTTTGGTAGGTCACCCTCTCTCAGGCTTTTGTGCTCCGATCTATTAAAGGAAGAAGGGGAGGAAAAAAAAAAATAGATTAGGCGATGCTCTGTGCTTAAATATATGGCCTGTTGATGAGCATTTCGAATGGCTGGTTTGCAGTGTCAGTTTACAGGTGCTTGGAGAGGGGGATTCCTCCATTGTTGGCCGGCACAAGCGGAGTTGTGCGTGCCCGGCTCCAGGAATCCTTTTCAAGTGCTATCCTCTTAGAAAATCCAACTCAGGCTCAGGAGAAAAAAAAAAGGAAATTTTTACAAATCCGCCGCACTGAAGTGCAAACAAGCTAGCAAATGCTTGCAACAGATCGGTGCTGCAAGCCGGCCTTCGTGCCCTACGCTGTAGGCTCTTCTCCAAACGGTTTGACGTGGGCTTTCTCCTGCACGCCTCAGATGGTGGTTATGCTGCTCAAAATCAAGAACGAGTCTTGTTGTCAGGTTGTGGGGCTCGGAATTAAAAGCAAAGAGAATAGAAATGAAGCTGGGGAGGAGTCCAAGAAGCCTGAGCGCTGTCCAAAGCAGTTCGTGGTCATTGCTGGCTGGTCTGACTCCGCCTGTGCGTTTACACAAGGAAGGCAAGGGAAGGAGGCTGGTAGTAAGACAAAAATGGGAGATAGCCGCCAAACTTGATGTTTTAGTGGGGATTTGGACAAGGTTTTCTTGGCAGTCTCTCATCTTCTGATGGTGCCGTGGGGCCCGATCCTCCCTCCCCTGTGTTGCTTTTACTCTGTCGTGAGTGGAGTTACTCGCTGACACGAATGAGAAACGCGTCCTTTTTCTGAGGAGGCTTTGTATGGTTTGAGGTGTTTTCTGGTCTGTCTTTCCTCTTCTGATTGAGCACACCGCAAAGCAGTACTCAACCATTGCCAGCTCCCCGGTGTTCGAGCCAGGCCGGGCAGCAGGAAGCTGTGGTGCTCCGTAGGTACCAGTGAAGACCGGACAGGTCAGGGCACCCACGAAGCTCCGTAGCTGAAGAGATGGGTCTTTCCTTACAGCCAATGGCTATATTTCAGGCAGATGTTCCAGTGACACAACGACTGGATGCCATCCTCCCCATCCTGCGCGACAAACCTGTAAAAAGGGCATCGCCTGGATGTCAGCATGTGGAGCACCACCGGGCAGGAGTACCAACCCCTGCCCACCACGGGAAGGGGTTGGTTTTCGGCAGATGTCCCCAGGTCCACATGGACTTCTGCAACCACGATGAGGCTATGTGCCTCCTCGTGGCTGTCTTTGCTGGCCTCCTGTCCAGCCTGCTATCTCAGGAGCTCCGGCTGATTCCTCGTGTCGGTATGATGGCTCAACCGCTGTGGGAATCCAAGACTTAGTAGTCATTAAGGATGACCTGCAGGGGAAAAACGTCAGACTCCTGGCCTGTTTGCCTGTGTGGTGTACAAAGGAGCGGATGGCTTGAGCTCTATTGGGGACAACGGCTATAGTGACCATTTCCAGTCTTTCCCGACTCATGTCTCCCTTTTAAACTAATTGTTGTTACTGCTCGTAGTCTGTTGGGGGTGATTTAAATTCGTTAACAGACTGTAAAATTTTGCTGTTCCAAATACTTAACAACAACTAGAAAGACCAAAACAAAAATCAGGAGTGATATCTACGGCTCAAACAAAATAAACACCTGGAACCTTCCTAGTTTAAAAATGAAAATATGCTGAGCAATAGTCATAATTATAGGTTATAATAAATCCTATCTGATCACTGCCACAAAGACTTTCTCCATTATATAAATGCCTAGGAACATAAAGATTATAAGGGGAGTAGAAATGTTGAGAAAGCCTTTTAATTGCTAGTGAATATCTGCTTCTCGTAATGTTCAGTACTTCACTTGCTGTAAAACTGAGCAAATAGCTTAGGATTTGCAAATACCTTAGAGCAAATAGCTAAGGATATCCCGTCTGTTCTAAAATGGTACGTAGGCAGCACCGTTACGCAGAGGATTACTGAAGCTGACTATTTTTTGTAGGCAGTTCGCTGAGCCTTTGCGAGGTGAGTTTCTCCAAGGCTGCCCCATGGCACTGGTGTTCCTTTCAGGTTTATTTGAAAGCCTCCATCATGGTCAAGGACTGCGTAACGGCAGCTGCTATTGTGTTCCTGATTGACCGGTTCCTGTATTGGATTGATGCCTCCAGCAAACTTCTTCAGATTGCCAAGGGTCTGCACAGGCTGCAGCCCGCCACGCCGATCGGTCCTCAGGTGCTCATCCGCCAGGCTCGCCTCTCCGTCAACACAGGTACCACTCCGTTTTCTCAGCTCAAGCCCAATTAGGGACTACTTGACTTTGAAGAAGACGCTTTGTCCCTTGCTGGGGATGACATGCTTACGGCCCCCGGTGCCATCTTTTCAAACGCGCAGCCCACTCCCAGCCCCCTTGAGCCCTCCCAGCTCCTCTCAGTAGCACAAAGGGGCTGGTATAAAGGGTTTCAGAGCCAAAAGCAGGAGAGAAAATTGTGAAAGGGTGTGGAAAATACTAATTGGAGCTTTTGTTCCTTAACAAATCTTCCCTGCTGGTTTCAAACAGGGATATCTGAATTGCTATACTTCTGACCAAGGGCCTTTAAAAAGTAAATTAGAATCCCAGCATTTTCTCTGCACTGTCCCAGCTGCTTTTTTTTTTTTTTTTTTATCACTGGGACCACTTGACTATGCAAACAATGCAGCTTACAACCCCTCGAGGGTAAACTGATTTTAAAAAAAAAAAAAAATTTCCATCATTTCTGTAACATGGACAACACCTGAAGGATTTTTAATGTATCTTCCCACTGTCCCTTTGGGGAGAAGAAAACAAAGCCAGACAAACCTGCTCTGAAAAACCCCATTGAGGAATATTTTATCTGCAGAAAAGAAAACTGTAAGTTCCCTGCATAGCCATTTTTACTCGTGGCTGCGGACTTCTCATGCTCCCGTTGCCTCGGTGTCGCGGTACTGGCACGCTCCGGTTGATGGGCTAGTTCAGCCAACACTTATCACTGCTTCACTGGCTGGAGCAGCCTTCTTGAATTCAGCCAGACAATTGAGACAAAAAGCAAGGTTCAGCATGAATCAAGCTGATCAAATGAGACCTTAAGGCGTCTCGTGCAGCCCATCAAGCCTGCCACGGGTGACTCCGGCCATGCGACAAAACCTCTGAGCCGTGTGACAGGGGGCTGAAAGGCAGAATCTGCACCTTGTGTTGCATGCTGCATCCTTTCTGTATATTTCTTGGCTAGATATTCTGTGCTTAAGATGGCTCTTAGAAGCGAGGTAGAGAGCGACGGGGAGACAGCATAGCCTGTGGCTACGCTTTCTGAGGTGGGACGTCAAGTCAGTTGGCTTTGAGGTGCATCTGCAGAGCTTCCCCTCCTGGTGAACTCCCCAGTGAGACCAAAAAAAGGGTTTCCAAAACCCGTGTTTCCTTGGGACAGAAACCAGCAGCTCTGTTGCTGAAGGGAGCAGGCTAGACTACTTTCTTCTGCAAGAGAAACAAGAGCAGGGAACCCCAACCGGTGGGGTGACCAGCAGCTCAGTGCCTGCCGCAGTCTTGTTGCCACCTCCCCTGCTCCGAATCCTGCAGCAGCCCAAGGCATGGGAAGGAGCGGAGGGAGAAATCAGTGCCTGGAGCCACCTGCCTACGCCACGGGGCTTGGGTTTACTCTAAAACCAACGCGCAGCCTCCGCCGTAAAGGAGAGGTATCTGTTGTTTTCTCCTTGCGGTGGGTTTACTGAAACCGCACCGTAAAACAGTATGCGCAGAAATTCAGCAGAAATAACCAGAGCTTGACTTGAGGAAGACTTGCTCACATTTTGAGATTAAGGACTCTTCCAGGAGCGTGTAGTGTGTTAAGTAAAACAGATATATACGTAATTCCATTTTACTGGGCAACCGCATATTACAGAATGTAGTGCATGTGCATTTATGACTACTGACAGCAACAAATCTATGTGCAGGTGATATTAGTATGTATCAGGTTAAATATCATACGGCTTCTCGATGAGATTTTATTGAAGCAAGTGTCTGGCTAGAAACAGTTGCCTCATCAGCGTTTTCTGCACTATTTGTTGTATATGTGAACTAGCCTGTGTCAAAGAGATTCCTGAGCAGGTAGCACCTGCAGCACATACTTAACTGGAAAGTTTAATTTAAGTGCAGACATGCTGACAGTGCTGGGAAGAAGAGTACAATTTGCAGGGGCTTTTGCTGATGAATATTTTTGTTCGCTTCATGCCACATGATACATTTTTATATTCATTTTCTATCTTCTTGTTACTTTATTTTTAATCAGGTAAACTGTTAAAAGCTGAATATATCCTAAGCAGCCTTATTAATGACAGTGGAGCAACAGGTACGTATATATTTCTTTTCCCATTTCATAGTTGCTGTTTTGGTGGGATTTTTGATACTAATTTTACACAAGCTTCAAATACAGCCAGTCTGACCTCAGTAATGACTCCTGGCATCACGTTTCTCTTTTCTTCACCATTCTTTGCTAAAATGTGGAAACCACAACTTTTGTTTTGAAATTTCCATAACTCATCCTTGTATATCTTCATTTGGGTGGGAAAATATTCTGGATTAACAGCCTTTCTATTAATTTCTCTGCCCAGAGAATTTTAACATGTGGACCAATTGCAAGCAATTGACTGATCTAGAAAAGACAACTCCCCCTTCCAAAGTCCAGATTGTTAGAGTAATGCTTATCCTCCAAATTCACACTGATCCTATGAACTAAATGAGTACTTCATTCTAGACCTGTAGCAGACTGCAGTGCGATTTTTTAGTATCTTTTGGGGTTAAGAAAAAAAAGAGAGCGAGTCCTGGTTCTTACCGCACTTTATTGCTGGGTAGATGTACAAAACTGTAAAAATGGGACCATTCCTTAATGCATGGTGATGTTTGTAGAAATTACTTTTTTTTTTTTTTCTTCCCCTTCTTTTCTGTCAAACGACTATACTGCTGGTCGTGTGGCTTGTTTCAGATCTGGAGGGCTGTGTAGGATTTCTAATGGTAAGAATTCATTAATTTTGACAGATGTCCATAACTGTTATTTAGTTAAGTTTTTGAGACAATGTATTTTAGGGTTTTAGATCTGTTCTCCATTTTCTCAGCCTTCAGGGTTTATTTAGTCAATACCTTCAGGTTTCTCTACAACCATGAAACTTAGGAAATTTAAGAAGCCTGTTCTGCGTTTTGTTGGTTTGTTTTTCACGTGAAACTGAGATTCTCATACAAGGAGGGCCTTCATGCAAGAGGGCTTTAAGCAAGATACCAGCTATCACTATTGAAGTCAAAACTGGCTGTGCAAAACACTGCATTTCATCTCTCCTGGGATTATGCTTTTCTTTTAAGATTATTTTCGTTATATTCAATGATAATACTTGTTTGTTTAACATTGAAGATGTGTTGTTGAACAGATGCTTCATGCTGAGAATTGGAGTGAAATGTTCGCAATACTTGGGAAAGCTTAGTGATTTTATTTCACATTCTCTTCTGAAATCCGATACAGATTTGATAACGAAAGACTGTGTGTAACTAATCGTACTGTGTTGATGTGAAAACTTTTGTTTTAATCTTCATGAGATACCGCTATCTGAAAGAAAACATGTTTTGCCAATGGTTAAAAGTATTTTGCTCTGCTGTATATGCTGGTGACAACAAAGGTAGCCCATATTGAATCCTTTTGACTGTTTTTAGTGCAACTCTCTACAAAGTTTATATACAACGACTGTTTGTTACTTCACAGAAGAGAGATACCTTTCACTTTTTAGATTGTTTTTATGCTCTGTATAGCTGTCACTCAAGCTACACACCCATATAGCTGTCTACTTACATTCCTTAAGGCACTGTCACTTTGTCATCTATCTGACTGTAAGTCCTGACTCAAACCAGCTGAATTCAGTGGGGAAAATCCTGGCAATTTACTGGGATTTAGGTTACCCTCAGAGGCTTAAAATGACAGCAGCGTTTTTCATTCTCTACTGAGTTTTTTCCACTCTTTCTGCAGGTACCTGGCGATACGCTAAGGAAAGCGATAGGATTCTCGTTCAGTCAGTCTGCTTACAAATCAGAGGACAGATTCTGCAAAAGCTTGGTAAGGCTTTTTTCTATAAACGTCTGCTCAAGGTTTTCCCCTGGTTTTTGTTTGTTTTTTTTTTTTTCTTTGCAGTCAAGCTTTAAAATGGTACGTTTGGCATATGTCAGAGTTTCAGCTTGTGTAGAACACCTGCCTGATGCCCGTAACACAGCCACAGAAGATGAGTTGTACGCCCATCTGTTCACAGCAAGGTCCTAGAGCCATGTACCAAGCAACCGCATTTGAGAAATTACCGTTTTATTACTAATCTTAGCAGAAATCGAGGAGAATTCTGAAATGTTGCTCCCTTTTTCCCTGTGCTACTCCATGTTTGCTAACAATTTTCCCAAATTTGCTGTTCCCAAAGGCATGCAGTAGTTTCTTACGGGTACATCACAGCAATTTCCTCTCTCAAGACAAGAAAATCCCCTGTTTTCAGCATGATGGGCTTCTGTATTCAGGGCTTGCTGCTTGAGGCCAGCAGCCTTAGTTTTATGCTTTTGATGTGACCTTTCATTTTCCATGACTGTTGAGCTGAAGTCTTTTATGAGCATAAAAACTGTGTTTATGCACAGCCGAAAGCTAAAGGAAACTAACAAATGTTCAGTGTCACCAAAGCAAAAAATGCCATGGTGTGGTTTTATACTGTTTTGAGGGCTCCTGATTCAAGGAGGTGTAAAACAAACTGTTGAAAGCCATCTGTAGCAGTAATCTGCTTAGTGACTATTTTTCTGATTTAATTTTTTCAGGGATGTGGTATGAGGCAGCAGAGTTGATTTGGGCTTCAGTTGTGGGATATTTCAAACTTCCTCAACCAGATAAAAAGGTAGCGTTTCCTTTTTGCTCTGGATATCCTTGCCAATCTAACAGTCATTCCAGATAAGCTTTTGTTCATGTCAGAAAAGTCTTTTAGCGATAATGTTTCAATTACGCACCTCAGACAAGGTTAACATGCAGGACAAATACTCTAGCCAAAGTCTGTCTCGCACATTGTTTCCGCATGCATACACAGGCTTATGGACACCTTTTTTCCTGCAGGGGAATGAAAGTAATACTTTTCATTAAGCAGAATCATCTGAAGTGACCCATCACCTAGGATGTCACAGGTGCCTCTGACAAGGATAGACTAATCCCAGAATGCAGCCATAGATTTTATTTATTTATTAGGACTAAGGCTAATTTTTTTTTTTTTTCCTAGTAACCAAGCATGCCCATTTGCTGAGCTGCACTACACTGTCTGTTGTGGTTGATGGGTGTTCCCCAGCACTGCAGCATCTGAACACCTTGCAACAGCTACCGTATCTATCTTTAACACCTTGGTGAGGCTTGGCCGCCTTAATCTTCCCGCTGTAGATGAAGCAACAGTCACGCCATGTGTCCGTAGCTAAACGGGAATGCGAACCTAAGTCTTGCAAGTCCTAGGGTGATGCTTTAAGGAGTTTTGTAATTGTACCCCAGCATAAGATACACCACAAAACCAGACCTCGTCACCTCTCCTCTGCCATACCTTAAAGCTTGACCTCAAGCTCAGAACATTTCTGTGGGAGCAAAGATGAATTTTGCGGAAAGCATACAGATACTTCCTGGCTTTCTTAACTATTTAGCTGGGCAGAGCCTTAGCTAGCACGTATAGATCAAGTCTTCCAGAGAGACAGACAATTAGCAAGTTCATAGATCTATATGTTACATGTTCATCTCTTAATTTTTCAATTGTTTCTGTAGAACCAATTAAAAAATAGCAAAAATAACGCAATTATATCAACACCAAGAACTCTTGACTTTTGTCCAACTCTGTTTATTGTTTTTTTAAACAGTGTAACAAGCTGGGGAAGCGTGTTAAAAAAGGTGCTTGTTTTCTTAGGCTGTGCGTGATGAGCATTTATTACTTCTATCATCTCTCTAGACATCTTCACCATGGATTTTTCAGAAAGACTGGGATCAACTGGCCAGTTCTTAAACATGATTTTTGGCTTTCTTTGGTCTTTTCCGAAAAACAGTGGTAAACCAGATTGAGTCCTTTTTCAGATATGATTAGCCAAGGGCTTAATGCAGCTTTTGGTGGTATCGGGAGACTTCACTTTCATTGTCACAAACAACACCTTGGGAAAATGCAGTGCTGTTTAAGTTGAAACCTAGAGCTAGTAGTGATAGGGATAGCTGCCGCTCATGAAAACTCATATGTATCCACCAGGCTACATTTTCTGCAAGTTGAAATTCATAAAACGCTACCAAGCTGACGTCTCTGAATTTCTTAGCAGTGCTTCTCTTTGGATCTTGTTTGTTTGCTTCGGGGGTTTTTTTTGGTATGTTCTACACAGAACCTACTTTATTGTGAGCAGTAAAATACAGAATGCAAGGGGAAAAACACTGTGATAATTTTGCGTTTTTCTTTTCTAGGGAATTGCTACTTCCTTGGGTATTATGGCAGACATCTTTGCTTCCATGAATGAGAAGGATTATGTCCGTTTTAAAGCCAATGGTGACATTGACCTGGTAAGACTTGGTTTGGTATTTGCGTGTGTAGATTCTTCAGACGGCCCGTACGTTGTCCCAGATTCACCCACACTTTGTTCTTCCTCTACTTCCTTTCCTGTACTGAGAGGGCTGAAGAAAATTCCATTGCTCCTGGTGAAAAACTTCATTAGAACCTAGATGGAAGAATGCCTTGCTTCAGGAAAAAGAACACGTTAAGAGTATTTAAAGAGTGTGTATGTCTGTGTAATATATAGAATATTTATAGGGTCAAAGAGCGCGACACACTGATGGTAAACCTGAGCAAAAAGGCTCCTGCAGAAACAGACCTGGCTGCTGCTGTTTAAGATATGATGTCCCGCTCTAGCAAGACTCGAAGGTCTCGGAGAGCTCAGGGAACCTACAACAGACAAGAAACAAACCCCAAGCTGCCTTTCTTCTATCTAACAGGGTTGCTTGCCAGGTAGACCCATCTCTTTGAAAAGCAAGCCTTTGAGATGAGGTTTTCCCTCTTGTTTTTTTTCATTTCACTAGAGCCTTCTCCGAGAGTTCAGTCATCGCTTATTATCTGCTGCTGAGGCCTGCAAACTAGCGGCAGCCTACAGCCAGTACACGCCGCTGTTTGTCCTCACAGCCGTGGTAAGTATTAGTCTTCATTCTGAAAGTCCTATTTGTATAAGAGAAGAGTCCAGGCTGTTAAATTGGGCTCTAATCTGGCTTTCAAACATCGCATCGTGCAGGGTTTTGTGTCTGTGTTGTGGGTACGATGCTGTATGTTGCTCTGAACTCCAATCAGAAGCTAAGCAGATGGGTGGAAAGCAGTATCTGTCCATAGAGTGAGGATGGGCTTGAAAGCCCATCTAGGAATGCTGCTTCTCGTTTTCCTATGTGTTAAAGGAAAAAGAGCAAGATTATTCCCTCCAGGAAACACAGCAGCAGGCAGTTAGAGCTGACATTTGCTTCAAATTGTAAAAGGGAAAAACACGAATTTTTTCCTCCCTTTATTTATCTCTGACAGAGGTCCAGGTTTTTAATTCCTTCATTCCTCTTTCATCCCCTCCCAGAACATTCGTGGGGTGTGTTTGCTGTCCTATAGTCACTCCAAGGACTGTCCCCCAGAAAAGAGAAAGTTCTACTTGTCCGAAGCCAAAGAATCCTTTGAGATTGGCCTCCTCACCAAGAACGATAAGAGTCCCGTCACCAGCAAGCAGGAGCTCCACAGTTTTATTAAAGCGGCTTTCTGCCTCACGACCGTGCATCGATGGCTCTATGGGGAGAGTGAGAAACTCCGTGAGGTGAGTCAGCTGTGCAGAGAAGCCATGGGAAAACTGCATTCATACAGCGCTGCGTTTACAGAAGAGGAAGAGAAAGGAACGCTTGCCAGAGAGATCATGTCTCTGATCACATCCGTGAAGGAGCGCCTGCAAGTGGAAAGCTTCCCTAATTCTGATGCCAGGTCTTACGTTCCGGACAGTTATAAGGGCACAGTGGAAAAACCTATCCTGCAAGGGGAAGCCAGCTTTGAGAAAATCCTTGCCGTGCATTCTCAGCATCATCTGTCAGTGTGTCAAGTGTTTGAAAACACTTGCAGGATTCGTAAAACCGCACCAGAAGAAACCCAGGCGGGAGCCTGTATCACAACCTTAAGAACAGAAACCAAAAACACAGACACTGTGTGTGCTACTGAAGAAATGGTGTACCAGAGGAAAGGTGCTGCGAAAACGCTGAGTTCGCCAACAGCAGGATGTATCTCAGAGAGACTCAGTGGCCAAAGAAATAAATATGTTGGTTCTGATGTGATAATTTCCTTCGATGAAGAGATTAAGCCCTTAGAAATAGAAATCAATGGTGAAAACGGTGTTTTCAGCAGATGGCAAAATAGGAGGGAAACGACTACTTCAGAGAGCTCTTGGTGCAAGCTGTCAAAATCAAGTTCCTCTTCCAGCTGGGAGGAACTAAATGGTAATAGCGGCAAAGAGTCTCCCAGGGAAGGGCAGCAGCAGGAAAAGGGCTCAGCAGAGGAGCAGTGTTGCACAACAGAATCTGATGAAAATGGTCAAGCTGCAGACTTGCCCTCGTTACCTCCCAGAGCCTGGCATCCTTCTCCTCTACCTGGGAGGCTGGTAGAGAAGGCGTCACTTTGTGGAGAAGAGCTGCGGGAGGGAAGACACCGTGGAAAGTGCTCTTCAGAAAAGAAAGCAGGGGAGGTGAACAGTGCGGTTCCTTCCCTCTCCACCCCTTACTCTGTTCCTACCAGGCCAGAGGAGGAAGAGGAGGAGAAGTCCTTCTCCTGGGCGGAGCTGGGCTGCAGGACCAAGGACAGCAGGCCCCGGAGCCGGTTTGTGTGGGTCCCCCCAGAAGGAGAAACTGCAGATAGCACAGAGGATCCCTCGTCTGACGCACGTCCCCCCACAAATGGGGGTGCTTCTGTACTATCAACGAGCATCGAGCCGAAAATGGCCAGCGACTCCTCGGTGCGTGACTGGCTGCGGAAATCTGCCGTGGTGGGAAACAGATCTCTCAAAGTGCCTGAAGTTGACACCCAAGCAGAAACCACAGATGATGCTGAATTTGATTTCGTCAGTGTTGGAGACTTAGTAAACAATTCTCCTACGGCGTCTGTTCCAGAGCATCAATCAACTCCCAGCGCACCAACAGCTTTGCCCTCGGGGGGAATGTTATCCATAACTGAGCGTTTTGACTGTGCCACTACTGAAGAAGATGAAGAAAAGTCTCAGGACGTGGTCAGCGGCAAGAGACAATCCAGTTCGTCTCTGAGTTCATGGTACAAATCAGTGCAGATGCCCAAGAGTTCTCCTGAAGGTTCATTTCTGAACCCAAGGGGAAGTGGTCTTACCTTCACGCCTGGGAGAACGAAGGAAGAAATCCTCGACACTCGATTTCTGAGGGACGATGATTACATGCAGCTTCTGGCAGGGGTAGAACATAATTGGCTGGTCCAGAGACTGATGCCTACTGGAATTTTCAAGGCTAAACAGCTTCATAAAGCATACTGTAAGTTTCCACGCAGCGACTGGCATTTTCACGCAGTGGCAGGTGCTCCCCCACAGAGAACAGTCTTGACTGCGTGTTTAAAGTAGTGATTATTAATCTAATCATAAATAGCAGCCATATATTAATATGCAGACACTTGATCAATATACCAAGAAATACAAAAGCTAGGAGCAGCACTACTATAGGCTGCCTCATTGAGCTCATTAAGTAAAACCCACTTAGGGTTCATCCCATCTTGCATGTCTCAAGCCTGTTGAGCAATTTGTTGTCCTTAATGTAAAATATCCAACTCTGCACCTACGTACCTCTTAGCATACATTTTATAGCCCCGTACTTTAGTTTTAGAGGAGCCTGGATATCCTCTCTCCTGGGTGCTGGTTATTTCAGCCCTTAGCACAGGCAGTCCTATGGAATTGTCCATTCTACTTGTGGTGTTTTCTTTTTGCAGCTGCTCTTCTTTTAAAATACTCAAAGAAATCAGGCCTCTGGACAGGCCAAGAAACGGCTGTATTCGTTGGGGACTACCTGAACGTGGCAAAGGAAGGCAAACAGAGAAGCGCATTTTGGATACACTTCCTGCACCAAGAAGAAAGCTTGGGAAGGTATTGACCAAACCAATTTCTGAAATGTTTATCAATGCTATTTCTGTGTAAGTATGAATGAAAACTGTCTGGTAAGGTTAGTCTTACAGCTGTGATTCAGCTAGTCCAGTGCCTTGTTAGACAGTAGCTTTTAGGAAGTATTTTCAGAAGACAGTACAGGTTTTTACTTGGACAAGCATGGAAATCGGTCTCAGTGGGAGAAGATTGTTTCTTGAGTCTTTTTCAATCTTTGGTTAGACTTTGACTGATTTTCTGTAGCAAGAATGTTTTATGGCTTTCCCAAATCTCTTGGGCATTTTGGCAATCTTTCCCATCGCTGCATGTAACTCTCTACTTTTTAATTTCTGGGAAGAAAAAGCTACCTCACTGTTGTCTTATAACAGCCATGTTAGTGTATGTTTGCTCGTGACAACTCTTAGGCCTGACTTTAACTTTGTCTGTGCTGGGATAATCTCATGCACGCTTAAATATTGCTTCCTTTTTATTTGACCTCTAGCTTTGCATTAGAGAATTAGCGAAACATTATATATATTTTTAATATATATCTTGCAATGCCTATAGGCAGAAAGGTGTTTCACTTGCTTTAATCTCAGCAGCAGGTTTATGCAATGAATGCATCTGCTCTGAAAGCAGGATTAAAATCACTTATTTGCTTCATAAAGGCCTCTGCACCAGGAGAGCCCTGCTAACTGCTAATGTCAGGTTTTGGGTTGTTATTAGAAGTAGCTTATGAATTATTATGGATTAAGAACAGTATTTTAAGTACCTCTGAGTCAGGTCTTCCTTCGGAGTCAGGAAGAGTTGACTTTAAACATTGCGGTGTTACGAAACCCCCGTCCTAGGGTTTGATTGATCAGTACAGCATTTTATGCCTGTAAGGCTATAAAAGAAAAAACCCACAACTTTAATCACTGCCATTTTAAACGCATCACCAACAGATGACTTTGCTTCTGAACAGCCAAGCTCTGCTTCGTAGTGATGTCTCTGTATCACAAGTAGGGCTTCCCAAGTGCAGTCTGCTGCAAATCTGGCTACGCCAAACACTTCTCTTTTTGTTTAGGTATGTTGGGAAAGAATATAAAGAAGAAAAAGGACTACTTCATCATTTCAGTGACGTGGAACGGCAAATGACTGCCCAGTACTATGTGACGGAATTCAACAAAAGGCTGTATGAGCAAAAGGTCCCTACCCAAATCTTTTATATCCCGTCTGCAGTACTCCTGGTAAGAACTGTCTTCTAAGCAATACAAAGGAATTGATGGGAATAATGTCTTAAGTCAATTCTGATTTTAAAATACTAGCAGTTAAGCCACCTCTAGATGACATGCTGGCATGCATAGAGCCAGGGAGGAAGGTGCAGCAAAGTCACAAGAAGTACTCTCCCTCTCCCTCGAATGGGTTGAAAAAACAAGGAGCTCGAAGCTAAAAGTTTCAAGAAAAAGCACTTTGGGGTTAGTCTCTTTAAGCAACAAAAACCAGCTGCTAAAATGCCCAGCACTCAACCAAAGCAGCAGCCACTTTTGATCGTGGGAGAGGCTCGTTTGCCCGCTCAGTTCTGAGCACATGGAGTTTGAGGGGGCTGCCTTAGGCATGCCCTCAAGTCTTAACGCACGGATCATACTGGCCTTGTGTGTTTCAGATAACTGTAGCCAGGACAGCTCTTGCTTCTGCCCTCTTTCTTCTGCTTGACGGTTGTGAGGACAGCGTGCAAAGCTGTGAGACAAATGGCCCTGCTGTGCCAGCCTGATTGTTAGAGGCAGGAGCCGCGTCTGGGTAACCTGGCACAGAGGTTAAAGCTGACATCCAGCCCCCAGCGGGAAAGTAAAGGATCTGTTCTTTATTCTTATGCTTAACTTTCCATTTGACTTGTGTGTCAAATAGGGAGAGCTACTTTCCACAGTACAGCGCTGAACTCACTGTTTCATTATGAGTAGTATATGATAGCATGCGATGCATATTACTGTTTCTGTTAGCCTTTCTGGCACTGGATCTGGCTCTATGCCACCCCCTAATAAGGCCTAATGAGAGTCTGGCATCGGTACTTACAAGTCTCTGAACATAGAAATGACTTAAAAAAAAAAAAAAAAAAGCCACACACCCCAAAACCCTCCTACTAGTTATTTACACACTGAAGAAAGACCAGGTGCAGGTTTACCCAAACCTTTTCAGCTTTCTAGCTTTTTCTGTAGACATAGCCTCCTGAAAGAAGTTTCCTATTTGGACTAACTAGGTATTTCTAGAATTCGTTGCTTGCAGAGTTTGCCCTGTCAGGCTGACTGTGTGTTGAATCTTGTACCACCCTTTGTTCTAGCTAAATGTGAGCTCCTCATCTAGACAGCTTGTGTTTTGAATCAGCAGTGGGTTAACATGAAGACTTTTTCCATCCATCTTATGATGGAAAGTTCTAGGAGGAAAGAACAAGACTTCAGTTAGAGGAGCTTTAGCGTCCTTGTTTTCACATCTCTGCTTGCATGACACTCGTTAACACTCTCTTTTCAGATACTGGAAGACAGAACTATAAAAGGATGTGTGAGCGTGGAGCCCTACATCCTTGGGGAGTTTGTGAAGCTGTCCAACAACACGAAGGTAGTAAAGAAGGAGTACAAAGCCACAGAGTACGGTCTGGCCTACGGCCATTTCTCCTACGAGTTCTCCAAGGGAACAGACGTCGTCGTTGATCTGCAAGGTTTGTATTACAGTGGACTTCATTTCTTGCGTGTCCTCTCATGTTGCAGAACATGGTATATAAAGGACGTACTGCCTCTAGATGACGTAAAGCGAGGGAGGGATGTGCAGGTATGTTTCTGCCTTGAGCAGTGCTCTCGTTTTCCGCTGCGTCACAGCAAGAGCATGTAAGCCGCGTGCTCCCAAGCATCATGCCGTGGAGTGATCTGTGTCTGATTAGACTAAAGCTGGTCTGCAAGGATGTGGGTTGTGGGACCATCTAAAGCAGAACCACTAAGAGAGGCAGTGGGTTTTGTCATGCTTCTTCCTTTCTAAAATTGGCAAGCCTAAAAAAAAGATCCCCTATATTCAGCTACGGGTCCCCTATTCTCAGTGGAGAATTGAGCTCTGTGATTAAGAGCCTGGGACTCGGGGCTTTCAGACTCAACCTTTAGCACGCAGGTGTCCTTGGGATATTAATTTCATTAAATACTCATTACATACCTCTTCGGGTTCTGCTTTTGCTGATGTAGGCGCAAACTGGGAATCGCTGAAGTGACATTATGAAGGCATGGGCTGTGCCAAGCAGACAGTCCTGAGTACAGTAATACAAAGGCTGTGATGTTTGATACCAAGATGTATCCTTTCTTCCACAGGTTGGGTGACGGGTAATGGGAAAGGTCTCATCTACCTCACCGACCCCCAGATTCATTCTCTTCATAGCAAAGATGTTTCACGCTCCAACTTCGGGAAGAAGGGAATTTATTACTTCTTCAACAATCAACACGTGGAGTGCAATGAAATCTGTCGCTGCCTTTCTTTAACAAGACCCTCAGTAGAGCTGCCAGCGTAGACTCGCACAAGACAAGTCACACAAAGAATGGCCCATAAGTTGGACAGTATTTTATCCTACACACCTTTAGGAGCGGATTGTCTTTGTGTGAACAGAGCCACCAAGACGCTAACCATGTGAGTTGGGTCAGTTGTTACCTGCATGAGTTTGGCAAGTTCTGGTCTTTGCATCCCGGCTGGTAATACCATGTTACCGTCTTGTGTAACCTCTGAACCTCATGTTGTTATAGCCATCTGTAAGAATTAACAGAAGAACATAAGAGCAAGAAAACAGCCTCCCAAATTCAGCTAGAGTTGTACTACAAGACTGCATAAACCTCTAATCCGTTCAGACCCAGTAAGGACACTAGGCACTGTCTGCTCTTTGGAAATAGGATGAAAGATGGAGTGAGACAGAAGTGGAGAGTTGTATTTCAACCATTTGTAAAATTTTCAAACGCTTGTATAAAAATGCTTCAGGGAACAAATGGCAGTGTTTTGGTTTGCTTCAAAAATAACAAGTTTCTTTCAGAGGTGTGTATGTATGTATATGTGCCTATGTGACCACTCAACATCTAAACAGGTGGAAATACGGTTTTAACTGTAACAGCCAAGAAAATTCTGCTGCTCTGCAAGGACAAAATAGTGTTCTTGAACCAAGAGATGCTTTACATGAACAGTTTAGGACTGCTCCATTTAACAAACTCTCAGAAGACTTTCCCAAGAGCAGAACAGTTCTCACTTAGGGACAGCACGTCTCTTCTGCCTGTAATGAAACTGTGAGCACCACAGATTTGGTGACCAATTCTGTAACTGTTTCCCACAAATAATCTCACTGGACATGGGTGTAGCCGCTTGTACAAAGGAGCGGTTTTGGGGGCGGTCCAGCATTTAATAAGCCCAGGGTAAGCAGCCTCAGCGCCAGTTTTGGTTCCCGCCAGGCAGGCCGAGCACCCCCTCCCTTTGAGCCTCTGTCATCCAGCCTCGCAGAGCTGCGCGGTGGAAGGTGTGGAGGAAGGAGCGGTGCCTTTCTCAGCCGAGTCCCGGACAGAAGCAGGCAGAAGGAGACTTGCGATATTGCTGCTGGTAGCAAGGACGACACGTCCCATGAGTTGTACCTCAGTGCTGGTGGAGGCACAGCCTGCAGAGCTTCCCGCCAGCTGCTTTTCTGCTACATCCCAGAAAATACATTTATGAAAGCAAACCAGATGCCTAATAAATATTTAACTGATATATTTACACACTGCACCTACCAACAGCCCACACCCAGACCCCGGTCCTTCCACCGGACTCCACTCACACAGCCAAAGACTGAATTTGTACCTACGCGATGGGGGGTTTTCTTTAAACAACACTGTCACATGTGCAAACTGCTGCGACTTGGTCCTTTAATTCCAACATTTTAGCAGTATTTTTGTTACTGTTTGTGGTTGTTATCGAGCATACTCAGAGAGCCCCTGCTTTTTAACACCAGGACAGAACAGCCTGTGGCATGTATGCTGGCCACATGCTTCAGTAGTGCCTGCCTGGGTTATAGGCAGCTGCAGCCTTTTACTTTTTATGAAACAATCTTTTGTGGGACTTTTTTTTGTTGTTTTGTTGTGGGTTTTTTTAAACTAAAGCTTGCGATTCATTCATGTGACCTCCTTTGACACCTACAGCAATTCACGTACTGATAACCACTCACCTACCTCTGAGAGACCCGACGGATAGAAGTTACTCTCAGTAAATTTCAGAAGCACACAGAGGCAAGCAGTGCCCTCCCAACTTCGTGAATTCTAGCTGAACAGCTGAAATTCCCCCCCAGGCTGGTTAACTGAAAAGTGTCAAACGGACTGGCATGGTCAGATAATGTATGCATATGCTGTAGAGAAAACAGCCATAAAAAAGAGAGGATGGGAACTCCTCACACAAAATGCTGCTCCCCTTTGGTGCTGAATTAAGCCAACTGGAGTGTCTGGTTGAAATAAAAAAAAAATAAAAACTCTTGGTAATATTAAGCAAATTTGGACTATGATGAAAGAAGCGTTTTCAAATTGTATATGCTGACTAATGCATTTTGTCCTGGAAAAAAAAAATCAACTGTCCATTTTGCATCTGCTGCGGACAGGCTTTGAAGGAGTTACCTGGCCAGGATGAGTGGGCTTCGACCTTTGTTTCCAATGGGTGATTAACCTGCACGGGCTTCCAGCAGGATACTTGTTTCGGCCGCTGTCAGGGATGCATTGCAGATTTTGATTAAAAGCAGAGGGCATATCTTTGCATCTACAGGTTGCAGCTGATTTTTTATTCCACAGGAGAAGGAAAGTGATCTTATATTCTTCCAGCACGTCTTTCCGGGTGTTACTAGCCTAACCGGCAGGCAGAAAAACCACTTCTGGGCACGTTCAAGCCAGAGTTACCCTTGTTCCCCTTAACTGTGCCACATACGGCTGGAATAACACACAGGACCGGAGCGAACATTTGTTGCTGCCCCTCCAGCCAAAAGAAACCATGACGAGATGTAGCTTTTACTCTTCCAAGACTGTGCCAGCACCTCCAGGATACGTGTGTGCGCACGCACATGCGTGTGTGCTCCCACGTGTGTTACAGGGTTCCTAACTTGAAAACCGGTCGGTAGCTTTCCCGCTCCATCAGCGGTGAAAAGCTGCCTTCATTTCAAATTCTCCTCTTCTCCTCCAAAGCCCTGACATCCCGCTGCCCCTCAGCTCAAAGGCTGGGATCGTTTCTTTGGGGAGATTTTCCTGATGAGAAAGGGAACGCGGCATCAAACATCCACAAAAAGATGGGTCCCCAACAGAGAGTTAGCTTTAACAAAACCATCCGCTTTTGTTTCTGCAGCCAGCAGAGATTTTTTAGGCTTTTGTTCCCGCTTTTTAGCAATGCTATTGTTTCTAGGTGAGGTTTGTGCCGAGTTGTTTGGAAAGATGCCCTATCGCTGCACCGGCCGATTAGAACTAGGTGTAAAGAGGGAGAAGCGAGAGAAGGGGGGGGAAAAAAAAAAAATTAAATCTCTTTATTATGGTGCATAAACCTTCAGTGTTGGGGAGCTGGGCAGCTGCGCAGGAAGAAAAATGCATTCAAAAATATAATGCTAGTGTGAATAATCCTTTCTCGAATGCTGCTTGCAGACTGCTTCAGCTTTGTCAGGTGAACTTGAACTGGGCCATCAGATTTGCTGCCGTTCCCATTGCACACTGTCTATCACCCCGGGGCATTCACCATCTTGACTGTTGTTAAAAGCGAGCAAACAATCCATCATTGAGCCGGGGAGTCACTCGCTCATAGAAAAGTAAAATCGGCATGTGACGGTACACTCGGCCCCAGTGTTTCGCAGATTAAAGTGATACATGAAAACTCACGTGTTACTGGGAAGATTAAGTCCGTTATCTTGTTCCGCAGCCAATAAAGGACGGGCTTGTCCGCAGCAGTGGGGAAACGCTGGCTTTAACCAAGCGACAAACGCCGTGCGTACGCGGCTTCGGGCTCCGGCAAAAGAGAGCGCCCAGCTCTGAAGAGGAAACAAAGCTAGCTAGCGAGATCTGGGGAATTAATAGGCGGCAGAGATGCTGCGTTAAAGCCTCTCTGCAGAGGCTTTCCCTCCTCTATAGAGACAATTAAAAGCAAAACAAAACCTCCCGGACAATCTCTGCAGAACAAAGTGTCCTCGTGCGCTGCCAACAGCCGGCCCCGCGATGTCGGCTCTAACGGCACATGCCGCTTGGAGACCCCTGAGAAGTAATGCCTTTTCCAGCTTATGCCTCTTGTTCAAAGAAAGGAAGAAAAAAAAAAAAAAGTGTTTAGACGCGCTCCTGAATAAATTGGTCTGTGGGAAGTTTTCATATTTTGATTCCTTCCTGATATTTGTATTCGGCAGCTGATTTCTTTTGTCGGTTTGTAGCATACATTTTACCATCTCGGCCAAAGTTACGGCTACTCACAGTTGAAATTTAGTAAAAAAAGTTTATCAGCTTGTCCAGCTCCCTGTTGAAACAGCCGTCACCATTTTGAACCCCGTAGCTTCCACTGGTTTCGGGCACAAATTCAGAGGTAGCAGTCTGTCGCAGAGGCAGGTGCTCCGTCTTCATCCAGGGCTTGGACAGGGGAAACCCTGGATGAATGCGCTCCATAACCTCGTCGCCTGAAGAACTTAGACACATGCGTGGCCCGAAACACACAGAACTTCAATTATTGGTTCATATTTGTGGTGTAAATAGCTGATTATTGGGGGAAATAAATAGTTGACTTGGACTGACGATGGAGCGTTTAATATTTTGGCTGGAAGTTTCACCTTAGAGCTACTGACCAAAAAAATTACTGTTCTGCTATTTCATCTTAGAGCTACTGACCAAAAACATTACTGTTCTGCTATTTCATCTTAGAGCTACTGACCAAAAACATTACTGTTCTGCTATTTCATCTTAGAGCTACTGACCAAAAAAATTACTGTTCTGCTATTTCATCTTAGAGCTACTGACCAAAAAAATTACTGTTCTGCTATTTCCTCTGATTTCCGAAGAAAGTCATTTGAACCAACCGAGACTTAGGGAATACTTTTTTTTTTTTTTTTTTGAAAGAAATTCAGTGGTTTATAGTAAATAACTTGCTACCAAGGGTGCTTTTGGGGCTTGATTAATTGTAACACACACCAAAGTCCAACGCAAGAGTTCAGTATGACCATGAAGAGCCAGTCACCCTCTGGTCTCTACAAAGTGAGCGAAACTGTGCTGTGCTGGTAGAGCGAAATATTGTTGTGAAGCGGAGGGGCATAAAGTCTGAAGAAACATTTCCTTCTCTCGGCTAAAGCAGCCAGCTCAGGGACTTGGGTTTACACCCAGTGTAAGCGCTGCAGTAAGTCGGGCACAGAAACGCCCCGCTCTTGGCAAGGTGATGACGCACTTCCCTGTCCTTCAGGGAAGATGTGGGGTTAAAGAGGTTTTCCCCAATTTCACCTTTCTGCAGGTATGCAGGTGAAAGGCAGCGGTCTCATTTGCTGTGTCATGTACTCATGTGCAAAAGTAC